TCGGGGGAGAGCTGGGGCCCCCTCGCGCGGCGATGCTGGTGCCCGTGGCCCGGCCCGGCTCAGCTCGGCTCTGCGAAGCCTGCCGGCTCTGCGGGGAGAGGAAACGTTGCTGGAGATCAAAGAGGGTCGGGGCTGAGCCTCAGCGTTTCCTCTCGCACGGTGGCTGCTCTTCTTGGGCCTTCAGAAGTAGATCTCAAGTACGGGAAGGTGCAGGCTGCAGCTGCTTCCGCTTCTTGAGAGAGAACTCGCGTGGCTGAGAAACGAGCGTGAAGATGAGCAGCGGCAGGCAGGGCTGTTTCTGTGCTCTCAGACACATCTCTTCGCCTAGCCTGGTTTGATTGGGTTTCTGTAAAGAGAGAGCTCTTAAAGAAAACCGAGTTCATGTACTGTGCTACTGTGTGCTCAACAGTGTTTCCTGTTTTGGAGGACAACTGCCTCTATCAACTGCTGGGATTTAGCTAGGTTCCCAAATATGACCTATTTATGCTTTAATGCTGTTGAAATATGATTGTTTTTTTTCCATGTACTTTGCCAATGTCTCTGCACCTTTATTGTGCGAAGATTAATACTTGTTTTTATATACTGTTCTCATGCACAGTGGTTGGTTTACTTAGCAAATAAAGCAAGATAGGTGTATAACTTTCTTAAAAAAAAAAAAACCACAAAAATTACTGTTCTGAAATCCATAGAACCTGAGGAGTGTTCTTTCAAGCTAGGTTTAGGTAGCAAAACTTGGCAAGCATTGTGGTGTTAAACAGCTGCTCTTTGGAGGGTGAGTGTTGGATTTCAGCCATTATAGCCTCTGCTACAGTGACTTTGAGTTCCAGTGTAGGTTTGAAAATGAGTTCAAAACAAGTGTACCTTTCTCTTATGTGGCCTAGCATATCGCATAATGAAACGATAACTTTTTCATGACTAAGTTGCTTTGTAGTTTAATAACAAAACTCTGCTGAAATTGAAGTGACAGCATAATACATTCAAAGTTATAAGCTGATGGTAACTTGTAGTTGCTACAGGTTTTGGGGGGTGGGTAGTGGTCTTGGGTGTTTCACATGTGAAACATAACTGTTCCCTGGTTAAGTCAGTTAAGCAGTTACAAAGTTACACCTGAATGCCTATTTCAAATTGGAGTACCAAATGTTTTTATCTTGTTATTATTATAGGGAAAATTTAACTGACCCTCTGTCTTTTTTCTTTTTTTCTTTTGAGGGGTATTTTTTTACCCCCATCAAGTGCACTATCTCAGTTCCTGTCAAAATATTTAGAGTGCTGCATGTACACGCACACCCCCCACTTGAATCTGCACACCTCAGATATTCCAATAAAAAGGCACAAAAACCATGGCATTTATAAAGTAATTTAACAAAACAAAGACCTAAGGAATGTAGCATTTTTAACAGGGGAATGACAATTGCAGAAAGTAGGACTTAGGGGCTCCTTAAGCCCTATCCTTATCTTTAGAAGTTGACCCTTTCTTTGATAAGATACAAGTGGTTGAAAACACTGAAAGCGGGGCAGCGGTTTATATCAGGATAGGTTTCAACGAGGGGATTTTGTATTATGGAAAGATGCCGTATGCTCTGCACCAAAAAAAATTGAAGTTAATGTCCATTAAAAACAAAGATCAGTTTTCTCTTCTGCATTTTGAACTTAATATACACAATTTGTACATACAAAAAGTAATGTTTATTACTTTAAGATAAAACTATACAAATACAGAAAGGTCCTTTTAGTGAAATTAAGATTTAAGCCTGTAATACAACTCATTTTCAAAGGTATTTTAATATTTCTTTGTTTCCAAATCAGTTTCATATAATTCTGGTGGAGAAACCTGTGATTCTTGAGCAGGTTCTTCTGTTATAGTTTTATCATATGACCAGCAGCAGGGATGTGGTCCCAAAGGGACAGGAGCTGTTGTTTAGTCTTGAGTTTCTTGTTGTGGGAAGGACATGAGCTGGAGGAGGTTTCTGGATTGCATTGAACCCCAGCTGTACAGCTAGTCTAGCTTTAATAACTCATTGCTCAATTGAGTGAGGAAGCCCTAGGAAGACTCTGTAATCTGGGTTAAAGGGAATTTTTGAGGTTGCTGCTGTAAGGGAGATAATGGGAGATTTGTGCATATGATTTGTATGAGGCTTTCGTAGAAGTTTAAAGAATTTTCCTCCAAGGCATGCTCTGGTATTCTTAGTTTCTGTGGGTTTGGCAGGAGGGAGGGGTGTTCTTGATTTTTGTTGAGGGGTTTTAGTTTTGTTTTTAATAGAGTGCATGCACATTAGAGTTCTTAACGTAAATAAAAATGAGGACTGATTAAAACAAAAGAGAAAAGCAGGATTATCTAACTGATGTTAATCTTGTCTTGTACTTGTAGTTTAGTTACTTGTAAAGAAAGATTGCTTTTCATGGGAAACTGTAATTTGGTTGGTTTGTTTTTTTAACAAGGCAGTATTTGATCTACACTTATGAAAATGGAGTGTGACATGCATTCATTCAGATCATATTTTTTAATTTGTGCTACAAAATCATGACTGATGTTTCTAATTTACTCGTTTTTAATTTGGGTTGACAGTCTAAAAATGTTATATTACATTTTATTATCTCCAGTGTGGTGGATATGTAACAGTTATCTGAAGTGTTTTCCATTTAAATGGTTTATCAACAAAACTTATTTTCATTGTTTAATATGCTGAATTTAATTTTTTTTTCTTGTCACCTCATCATCGTCGAGATTTTAGAACCAGTAGTATTAGCTGCTTTTACTTAGTTCCTATACATAAATTTCATGTGGAAAAGGAGCTTTACTGCTCCTCCAGCTCCTAATCACTTTCTCAGCAATAAACAAATTGGTTATAACCTGAACTGGGTGAGGAACCTGAAATGAAGGAAATATTCTGTAGGTGTATACTTCTAAATCTCTCCAAAGTCCTAATGGTCTGCTTTTCTTTAGCCACATGTGGAGAGCAGATTGCCAATAGCCACACCTGGCAGGGAGGAAAAATTAAAAAGAACAAGAGCATCTGTTGCAGAAAACACTTGTTACTTGGAAGTAGACATCTAAACCATTTCGTTTTCATGTGGTGGTGATTTGGAAGAGGACAGAATCCATTGTCCTAATGGTTGCAGAGTCCTTGTGTGATTTGGTCAGGCCGATAGCAATTTTTACATGAAATTTATTTCCTTTGAGGAAATAAAGTAGAATGCGTGTTGGTTTTCCCCCATCAAATTGATGGAAGGGTTGTATTCCATATCTTGCAGTGTAATACATCCAAAGGATATATGGCATTCTGGGTGAGTGGGGAGGGCAGGAAGCTTGCCAGAATGAAATGGTTGAGTCATTTTACAGAGTAAAACATTAATGTGATTCTTTTGTTGTCTTTGGTATTTTTTTCTCTTCTAATGTTAGCAAGAAGGCTCATTGTGTGCTCAGCACTGTCTGAATAATTTGCTACAAGGGGAATATTTTAGTCCTGTTGAGTTATCCTCTATCGCACAGCAGTTGGATGAGGAAGAAAGAATGAGAATGGCAGAGGGAGGAGTGTCTAGTGAAGAATATAGAACGTTTTTACAGGTAAAATCTTCTTAATTTGAGGTTGCTTGATATTTGCCTGAAATCTAATATTGTGTAGCACAGACCTACTATTCTTGCATAGCTAGAGAAGGTTAATTTCCTAGTGCTAAAACTTCTTAAATTTATAGGCCTTTTCATTCACACTTCTTAAATTTGGCATTTTCAAATGTTACTAGTACAGCTTTGCAGTAATTCTACAAAAAGCTATGTCATCTTACAGGTAGGAAGGTCAGGCATGGCAAGAAGGAGGATCAGTGATTTGCCTTTTGTTTTTTGTCAGCCAGTGGCAGAGATAGCAACAGAAGTTCCCATGCCTGTCTGAGCATTTCTAATTTAAAGATTTGAGTTTTTAATAAGCTTATTTGGGCATTGCAATCAGCCTTACAGACTGGGACACATTTAGTTGTTGCTTTAAGTATGTGCAGTTATATTTATTTTCAAAATTGCATTATTTCTGACCTTTTATGCTTACACCATTTTTCCCTTTTTTCCCTCCCAACCTCACACTGAGCAGCAGCCTTCTGTAAATATGGATGATAGTGGATTCTTCTCAATTCAAGTAAGCATGGGTCTATAATGACAGAATTTTTTATTTATGCAATATATATTCTCTCAAATAATTTAAATGACAGAAAGCTTTTTCATCTAGTTTCCAGTTTATAGGCTTAATGGGATTAAGTGCTGGACTTCTAAATCTTCAGAGTGTTTTCCATTAAGAGCAGTGACTTGCAGTTCTTCAGTTCATGGGCCTTTAAACACATAGTAGAAGCATGGACCTCCTGAACTGTGAAATGACACCTGCTGGCAATAAGCTTGATTTCTAAGTTGCTTCTTATGGGCACTTCAGGTGTAGACCTTGGCTCCCATAGACTACAGGTGAAAAAGCAGACTTGAGATTGTTTTCTCAAATTATAGACTGTAGAGCCCTTGGCAATGGTTACAGGGTTATCACAGTGATCTGCAGAATGGAAAAAGCTGCAGTATCTGCATTCCAGTTTTTATAATACACTCCAGACACTTTAGAGCTGGGTTTTTCTTTTTTTTTTTTAAGGACCATAATGGAAAAGTAATTAATAAGAAATACTTAAACCAGAACAACAACAAAAAAAGGTATTGCACACTGAATTGGGGCTTGTGTCTAGACTAGAGCTGTAGGCAATGCTTTGCACCTTTGGCTGTCTCCCAAGCTTTCAGAGGTGCTTGTCAATGTTCCAGAATCCCTCAAGACCCTCTCTTCCTTATGGCAGGACAGGGCTGTTTTTCTATTCCATGAAAGACCATTAACAGTTTGGCATTTCTTGTTTCTTGATTGTGCTGCTTCAATATTGAAACTGAAAAAAAAATGCTTCCTCATATTCTACTTTTTGTTGTCCTGGCATTGCTTTGCTCACTTGCTGCATAGTTGGCTTGCTGAAAGGAAGATGAATTGTTAATTTAAAATTTCTTACAGCATTATTTCAGATAGCTTTAAAGAATTGTTGTAAAAGAGTTTGCGCTAATGTACCTGACTGATCTGTGACAATCCAGCGGTGCAAAATTTCCAATAGTTACTTCAGGCAGGCAGAGCAGTACAATGAGAGCAGAGAGATGACAACTTATGAAGTATCTGTGGGAGGTGAAGGTACAGCTTTGTCTGGGGGAGTAAGCTTATTCACATGTTTCAGTTAAATCCTAGTTTTGTTACTTCCCCTTAGATATAGTATGTGTGTTATGTTTGCATGTAGATTGATGACAGTTGTGTTTTGAATAATGTGATTCCTAGGTCTCCTAGCAATGTTTTGAAATCTAAGTTTTATGAAAACAGTATAATTGTTTATAGCAGCTAAGGTGATTGTATTGTTTAAATTTAGATTTAACTGGTTTGACTCATGAAAAGTGCTATTTTTTGACAGGTTATAAGCAATGCCTTGAAAGTTTGGGGTTTAGAACTAATCCTCTTCAACAGTCCAGAGTATCAGAGGCTTGGGATCGACCCTATGTAAGATGTTTTTTCCTTAGCACCTGCTTTCATTTTACAGAAAAATAATACTCTTCATCTATGATTTAAATCTTTCTTTAAAATTACTATTTCAAGCTCTGTTGCATTCTGATGTTTTTCTTATCCCCTCTGTCTTTAATTTTTTCCTTTTGGGGGTGTATACGAGCATCTGTTCTCTGTGCCTTCATGATATCTCAGTATCTGTGGCATCACAGGTATATGGAGATTTCAGTAATGTTGACAACTTCCTAATGTTACAAAAGCAGTATGAGTACTCTGTAACATCAACAGTTGTATTACTGAAATTTTATTATATAAGTTTAAATTAGTCGCAGCAAAGAACTTAAACTTTAATATGCGCTCCAGTATTAGAGTATTTAATTTTATCTGTACCTTTTGTTTTTCTTTTTACAGAAATGAAAAATCATTTATTTGTAATTATAAGGAGCACTGGTTTACAGTTCGAAAGTTAGGAAAACAGGTGACATTGTCTTTTTTTATTTAAAAATTTACTTCAGAATGGGGGTGGAAAAGTGGTTGCGAGTAGACCATGTGTTGGCCTTTTGCAAGCTTTTGCTGCAGTTTGCTTTAATAGTAGCCCATATTAAAAAAAAAAAAAGTAAATGTTTGTTATATCACAAAAATGTAACGCAGCTTTTTATGAATGTTAGCCTGGGGAAAGACCCTAGGATCAATTCCCCAGTGAATCTGTCCTCTAGGGAGCTGCAGCTCTGGTAGAGTCTGTGTGATGTCTTAAGCTCTTTTCTTTCTTTTCTTCATGAAAAATAGCAGAAAAATTGTACGGGGGGAGGGGGGAATCCTAGGCAAGGATTAGGATTCCTATAGAATGCAAACTTATTTTAACGGACTGAATTATTGACACTGTAAAAATAATTTTGCTCATTTAAATGGACAGTAGGTATAAGAAAAGGTTCAAATTTCAAATGTGTTAATATTTATGATTGCTAGTATTTAAAAGTATCCATCAGGATAAGGTCGGGAAAAGTAGAATCACAACTTTGCACTTAGAAAACTTTCTGAAACAGTTATAATATAGGCAGGAAATAGTTATTAAAGGTAAGGGATAGCCATAGAAGTATATGGTACATAAATAATAACTCAAGTCACATCCATGTCCCTTGTCATGCCAATGCAGTGTTTTATTTCAGTAGCCAATCATTGTTCTGAATCATACTGCATAAGCTTTTATACAACATAAGCTGGTTTGGTGTTTGGTTTTTTGTCATAGAAAACGTTCATGAGATAAGCTTTTAGATTCTACAGTAGTGAACAGGAGTCTCTTTACCCATTTGGTTCATTTTGCAAGTGGTGGCTACATATGTTGTCATCCAGATTAAAAAAAAAATAATAAATTAAAAAAAAATCATCTGTGAGTAAACAAACTAAACTGTTGTTCTGCTTTAGTTGAAAAGTATGGCTAACGTTTACAGGCAATTTTTGGCATTTGATATCAAAAAGGCTGAATGTTCTCTTAAAAGTAAGGGAATGTTCCTTATATATACAACCATGTTGGGTGGAATTTTGTGAGAGAGAATTCTAGCCCAAAATGTTTTAAGTTGGAGGGGGGATGTCTTTTGCTTGTACATGTGGCTTGTAACCACATGAAGACAATACTAGGTGTCTGTTATCTAGAGAGTAATGAGAAAAGATAGACAAAATAGGTTGACTTAGATTTGACCTGCTTCTCTTCTGTTACAGTTAAAGCAAAATTAGTTTACCAAACCTTCCTACTTCATATTCCCCTTTAAAAGTTTGTCAGTAATCTGTCCATTGTATTTGTTTACATAACTCTTTATTCCCCACTCCTACACTGTTGGTGGTCTTACCCTTTCCTAGTGGCAAAGGGTGTTTTTGACAAGTAAAGTGACTGAATGACAGAATGGTAGATAGTCACTTACCCATATTCCAGGTGAATTATAGTATGGGCCTGACTGCAAGTGTATGACTGCGTATATGGAAGTTTGGGTAAATAAATGCATTTTTGTGAGAAGGGAGATAGAATTCTCCTTCTACTATCTGAAATGGTGCTTCCTGGTTAAAACTGGATAATATTGAACGATTATGGTGTCAAAAAGGTTCTTCAGATTGATTGCAATATATATGGGGTTTTAAAGGTAGAATATTTTGTTGTCCATGTTGAATATATTTTCTCTCTAGAAGAAGTATTATAAATGACTAGTTGTCTTCTTCAGGGAACTAGAAATGATCTGTGTATATTTATCTCGTGTCCCCTATTGTAATGTTATGTTGCACTATCAGCATATTAAATTTGAGTTAATTTTTCTTAATTTTAAAATTTAAAAATTATCTCAGAGAAGTAAACAATAGTTTTCAGCTATTAAAGGCAGAACGTTTAATGAAAGTATTTCACGGAAAGAATTCAACTTCTGTTTCCTGTATCTATTAATTTCTTAAGATACAGCATTAACTTGTGAAGGGTTTCTTCCTTCATTAGCCTCTGAACAGATTTAAAACTAGGATTAAGCAGAATTTTAGAATGATGTCTGAAATAATTCTTCTACCATTATATTTTGATTTATCTGTTTGCTTGGTACCAGCGTTCAGTAATGGGAGAGAACATGCAGTAATTTCCCCACTTCAGATCTCCTGTTAGCTGAAGAGTATTTGAAGGGTAACCTTTAGCAGTATAGGTATTGTGCTTCAAAAGACTTTTAATTTGATAATTTATTTTACTAGATTTATTCGGATATTCCATCATAGAAAATGACCACAATGTACAGAAATGGATTACCAAGTAATCTTTATGCTAATTTGTTCTCTCAAACCTTTTTTTTCTTAATTACAGTGGTTTAACTTGAACTCTCTCTTGATGGGTCCAGAACTAATATCAGATACATATCTTGCACTTTTCTTGGCTCAATTACAACAGGAAGGTAATAGTAACTTGCAGATGTTAAATCTCATTAATTAAAAGTAGGTAATAATCATTATTTATTAGAACTTATGTATTCAGTTAACTACCCTTAGTTTTATGATTGAAATAGTGAAATAACCCAAGTCCTTATAATGAAAGGTAGAGCCTTATGTTGTAATAAATTGCACATCATTGTGTTCAATATAGTGTGCATTCTAGAGTGTTTATGCGTGCACCTTAATGCTGTAGACTTACGATTTATTTTTCTCAGGTTATTCCATATTTGTAGTAAAAGGTGACCTGCCAGACTGTGAGGCTGATCAGCTATTGCAGATGATTCGGGTACAGCAGATGCAGCGACCAAAACTAATTGGAGAAGAGACAGCACAGTCAAGAGATCAGAGGTAAGGTAAATAGAGATTTCATTTTAATAATGTTCAGTGTGATTGGTTTCTATGATTAATGCCTATGTGGAGACAACCCCCTTAAGAAGTAATTAGAAGTACCTTTAGTGCAATACGCTTACTACTGTTGCACACAGTAAAAGCAAGTTGGTAGAATACAAATGGTGTCTTTTTAAGTGGGCAAAATGTCTCTTAAGGAATCAATCTTTCCATGTCCATGTGTTGCGTAGCGCAGATCTTCAACTTCATGATTACGGTATTTTTCCAATTATAGTAAAATGGGTTAGCAAATCTTACCGAACTATGGTTAATAGTAATCGATCTCTAATTAAGACTGACTTGTGCATTCTGTCATAAGTAGAAAAGAACGAGAAACCCATATCTGAATTCCACATCATACAAATCATACAGCATTCCCTTTTGGAATAATTTTACTGTAAATGTGGTGCTGCTCTGTTGTGATGCATACTGCTAATATAAAACATCCTTGAAAGCATGTAAAGTACTACTTCTGTGATAATTTTATCACATTTTCATAGTGAATAAATTGCATACTGATAAAAAGGCTTAAGGCCTTTCAGAGGAATTAATTCATTATTATTTCTTCCACTTTGTAAAGGTAAACTGGTATTGTAAATTGATGGAATAAAAACAAACTACTTGGCAGTAACATGGAAAGTGTGTATAGTTTACAGAGGATCTGTTGCTCTAGTGTGGTCATCAAAGCTTCCTAAGAAGGAGACCACATGCACTATTTTCTGCTGGTGTAACTGTTTAAATAGCAATAGGTTCGAATAACATGTATTGTTACTATTTGTGGGCTTATTGTTTTTGAAGTTTTTCCTATCAAACAGATTCTTATCAACATGTGCATGGGTTTAGAGTTGCAGTATCTTCATTTTTACAGCTGCAAGCTCTGCTTTGCAGCCCTTTTGTGCTTTTTCATGCAGAAATGAAAATATTAGTTTATATCACAGATTTTCACAATAGAAATGTTTTTTTTTCCAAAGTTAAAGAAAGGTAGAGTTAAATCAGCAGAAAATATTTACTTTAAATATCACAGTAAAAGTTAATATAACTTCTGTCTGAATTCTGCCATGAATGTATCGATTTCACAGGCTACCCAGAAGTGATACGGACCAAGCAATAGAAGTTAACCATCCTTTTGATGGAACAGGCATGTTAGATGAAGATGAAGAGAATTTTCAGAGAGCCCTGGCTCTAAGCAGGCAGGAAATTGATATGGAAGATGAAGAAGCTGATCTCCGCAGAGCCATTCAACTCAGCATGCAAGGTGCAGTGCTCATCTAAATTTCTATCACAGTGTTCATGTTGCTTATGCTTTAGGCAGCTACTCAAATCAGTTTCAGTCAGCTTTTTCCAGCATGCGTCAAGCTCTCTGAAAAGGCTGGCTTTGAGGCATGGAAGGGCAATCCAGAATTTACTGTAGCTATCTCCTTTCTGCTTTTTGAAAAGTTGTAACTTTCATGTCAGCATTGATCATTAGGAAGCAAGAACAAATTGGGAAAGGGTGGCAGAAGGGAAGGGAAACAGTCCTATGGTGAGGAGGAGAGATAATATCAAGTGAAGTTAGCCTAGGTGCTTATTTCTCCAACAAGTCTCTCTCTTCCTCTCAAGTTTGAAGACATTTTCTTAAGCTATATTTCATTTACTAACTTCATTTTACTGTAATTAGTAGGATATGGCATGTTCTGGTTTTAGGTAGTCGTCGAAGTGAGTTCCCGGACTCATTACCACAGAATGTTCCTCAGTCACCTCACACCAGTCAGACAGACTCCCTTTCTTCAGAAGAACTGCGAAAGAGAAGACAAGCGTATTTTGAAAAGTAAAGTAGTTGATTAAAAAAACTGCATGTGGAAGTATATGTCGTATTTTTCAGTGCTTTGGGGCGTGGATGGGTTTCTTACTGAGGTCCAGCTTAACTTTTCTCTCTTAACATGTTTTCCTAACAGTACCTGAATTTTGCTATTCCCAGGTGGTTCCTATGAAGAAAAGAAACCTGTAAATAAGAGGGGAACTGTTAGTAATGCAACGTCAGGCTTGTGAAGAAAGAAAGCATACATGTTATAGAAGTATTTTAAATGAAATCCTGTAAATTTCTGTAATTATCTTCCTGAAGAAAAGTATTCTTTCTCTAAGACTTTGCTTCTGGTAATGATGCCTCTAATGTGCATCACATGAAAGCGTTCTAGATAATATTTTATGTTGCTGTTCTGGAGTACCTTCTTAATACATAGTTGGGGTATTGTTGTAGCTTTTCCTTATCTCTGTCTCCTAGTGATGGAGGAAATAAAGACCAGGGAGAAATGCTATGGATGGGAGGAGTTAGACTTTGCATGAGAGGATAAGAATGCAGAACATCTGAATTCTGGGAAAATAGTAAAGTGGCTTGGAATGTAATGTCACGAAGATAAGTGTCTGAAGGTTAGCAGGGTGCAACAACTGAAGAGATTTTAGGTGCTGGGGTGTTACTGTATCAAACAGCTTCTACTTCCCACTCTTGGCCTTCCTTACAATGAAATAGACGATACAGGTCTTGTACTGATGTTAATCTTATTCTCTTACAAGTTTGTAACACTTTCAGGCAGCAACAACAGCCAGATCGGACCCCAAACCTGCATGATAAGCCAACTCTAAGCTCAAGCACTCCAGAAGCTGACCCAGGTATTGTTTTTCAAACTTATTTCCAGCACTGAAATATTTATGTCTCTTTCACCTTTGTTCCTAACTTTCCTTGTCTGCCTACTTCCTCACTCCAGCAGCCATTCAGACTATGTATCACAGCCATTACTCTTTTTGGCAGTGAAGGAAAGGATCAATTTCTTGAAAAGCCTGTTCTGCTTTGAATGTCAATATCCTGTTTCAAAGTGAAGAGTGTTACTATTAGACCATTTGTGTTCTGGCTTTGCATTTTGTTTTGTTTGGCTTGAGCATTACAAATTGTAATCTTTGGGATTTGTGCCAACAATCTGTTTTCCAAGTGACTTTTGAAGTTGTATGACAATGTAATAAACTTGGAATAACATCTGACAAAATTACTGTAGCCAGTTTTCAGTAGAACATAAGTACGTAGGCCTTACCAGTATTAGGTACTGGTGATCCCCCATTAATGTGTATTACTTGTTACAAACTGACTGTTGTGGATGGAAAGCTAAGCGCAAAATGTTCAATGATTTTAAAAAAACAAAACCAATTTTGGGGGTGGGGTGGAAACAGGTGGGTGTGGACAAAAGGAACAACAAAAGCATTTAACTACAGTTGAGAACTAGCTCTGCATTTATTACAACTTACATGCATTTATTTTCTTTAGGAGGTGATATGAGTGAAGAAGACATGCTTCAAGCAGCCATGAATATGTCTCTGGAATCTGTTAGAAACCACTTGAACACGGAAGAGGAGAAATGACATAACTTTTTTTCCCTCTTATTGTCAAAACACTAAGTCTCCATTATAATTTTACTGTGTGGGTGTTGCACAAGCAGGGTTCATTTTTTGCAGGAATGAAAGGGGGGCTGGAGGTCAGAGTTTAGAGGGAATCTGCAAATACAAAAAAGATTGCACTAATTTAGAAAACTGTAGCACTCCTACTACAGAACATCTGTTCACAAGAGTAGCTGTATTAAAATTACTTAAACTATTCACATGAACAAAGTTAGATGTGTAGCAGCTGTAACTTGCATTTGAAAAGCAAGTTTAAATTGTTTTGAAGAATTCTATAGAAAATACAAAAGGTGCTGAAAACCAGCATCAACGGATTTCCTTCAGTACTAATGGGAAAATAGATACAAGTAATAAGTTGTGCTCATAAATGACTAAGTTCTTTCTAAGAAATCACTTTTCTGTTTATCTTAGATAATTTATTTTGTGACTGTTTATTCTGAATGACTTAATGTCAACTTTTCGATCCTGCTGTCCACTTTTGAAATGACCCATTCTGCAGGAGAAGCATGAATCCATAAATTTCATACTTTGCAATTCAAGAGAAAATCTTCAGTGTATTGTTTATTATGATGTTACTCCTGAATCTTTCAGTGACTTCTGACCTTATAACACTCTCTGGTTTTACTTCCAGTTCCAACTGTAAAATCTTCAGATCCATGTTTAAAGTAGGATTTTTGCATTGCCCTATTGTCTTTTGGCAGATAACTTGGTTTTTTGTTTTTGTTTTCTTATGCTCTTTCTAATTATGCCACTGTCTTTACTATAAAAGTAGCATATAATCAGTTGGGTTAAACAGGTTTTCTTTTCTACCTCTACTGGAGTCTCTTTTCCTCTTCAAGCTCAACCCTTCATTCTGGCCTTTCAGTATGAAAGAGCTGTAACTGAGTCTAGGAGAAAGGAGGAGGGGATTTAGGTGCCATAAATCAGTGCCACACACATAAGGTGCATTTGAAATGACCCCTGTGCAAGTAACTCTTTTAAGAATGAATATTTATGTCTGTGTGGATGTTCTTTCTGAAATGCTTTTTATGAGTGTCTGTCAGAATGTTGCCGCTTTTTCAGGAATGGCCTTTATTCACGCACCTTACAATTTTTTATCATGCTGTTTCTGATCCTGAGAAAAATTGGGGAACAAAGTATGTGAGATGTCTTACAACCAATAGCATAAGCTATTTGCTTTGATATTCAGGATGAATGTGTAACAGGGTGACCAAACCTGACTTTCAACTTCAGTACAACAATTGAGATATGTTTCATTTTCCTAAATGGTGCTTGGAAATACAAATTCTGTTTACATATAAATTATATGGAAATATGTTGTAGATAGAGTATGTAAGCTGTAGTCCACTTAATGCATTAACAGTTGGCACAGGCATTCTAAGAATCTTTTGAAGATAACCCCAAATTTCTTTATCAAAATATTCTAAAGTTATATCATTGCACAATAGTAATATCTAATTAAAATTAGTATGAAATGAATGGTAGCTAGATGGAAATATACATTCAGCATCAAGTAGTACTGTACCTGAAAGGGCTCTTACCTCTCGGTAAAGATTTGTTTACAGCAATGGTTTCTTGATAGCTTAGGATATTATTATATTATACATAATTGGGCTAAATTCTGTTTTCCTTACCTGTGTGCTGAACTTCCACCAATGTCACCAGAACCACTGGTATGTGTAAGACAATATGGATTTTGACATGAGACAGCACTACTTTTAAGAAGCGGATTTTAAATTTTGTCTTTTTTAAATAATCCTGTCATGCACATTATAATTAATATCTGCAATGTCTCAATACAGCTAAACAATGGCTTTAAAAGTCCATGTGTGCGCATGCCATTTTGAAATGCTACATTTTTCAGGATGTAAATTTCTGCTTTCAGTTTAAAATTTATATGAAACTGAAAACAGGGATCTCTAAAGCACTGAATTATTTCTTTGCTTGTCTGTAAATTATCCACAGCTCTAATTTCCCTTCTTTTGTTGTGCCATAAACTGATTCTGAAATAAGACTCTCATTTTTATAAATAGGTATAGGCTGGCAATTTGATACCAGTACTTGGAACTTGGACCTTTTATCCTCTATTATAAGAATATAATAAAAATGTATTCTTTCTATAGCTATATAGTGTAGTAGCCCTATAGTAAACAAAAAAAAAGCCCCTTGAATTGACTTAACTGTAACCTGTGACAATTACATCTTTTTGTCATCACTAAAGCTTGGAGGTTTGCATTTGAACTTTCATGTCACTTCCTAAGTTACTTCATCACACAAGTGTTTTAATATGTAAAGAATATAAAGTAACAGTGCCTGAAAAGCACAACTGTGTCAGTCATTACAGGGCTAATCATATTCCTTTCTGTGTAGCAACATTGTCACTCTAGAAATACCAGTCTGATTTTCAGAGGAGCGTCAAGTTTAATGAAGCAGGTGTATCTGCCTAGTCAAGCAGTTAAGAGGTAGCAATTTAAGCTATGTATGCTAATTGCACCAAAGGGAAAGACTAATGCTAATTGCTGACAGTACATATTTTATAACCCAGACCTAAAGTTCAAAATGTGTGGACCTGCCAAGAAGCTGTCAATAAAAAACCGATCACATTTTTCGGTGTGCATTCTTTCAGTGATAAACAGTTCTCAACGTGGCTGAACTATGCTCATAAGGTGTTTACGAATTTAGAGCCTATTCTTAGTGTTATCTATTCTGTCAACCTGAAGGGTTTTTTTTCCCCATGTTGTAGCTTTAGGCTAAAGTCCATTGTAAAGGAGCAGAAACTGATTTTTTTTTTTTTATTACAGTATGAGGTTTGAGGAAATTTCAGGCTTCATTCATCCAACAGATTTTTACTGTCTTCCTCACAGTGAACGGTCCATGTGACGTCATTTGTGGTTTTCTGCCTATAAAAGTAAAAGGGGTAGGGGGAATGAGTGATACTTACATTAAATATCTTCCAAAATTAGTTCTGTAAGTATAATTCTGTAAACTGCTTTCATGGTCTTGTAAGGAGGGCAGAAGGAAAAAGTGTTGTAATGCAGTCATGCTTGAATGCAATTCTTGTTAGGCACAGCAGGTATAAATATGAGCTATTTAAATGCTCACATTTTTCTGGGCTTGAAACTAATCTGATACAATACTGGCTTATTCTCCAACATTTGGGCTCCTTGTGCTTGTCAAACGACTTCAGCGAGTTTAAATGTAATTTTCAGCTAAGGTACTCTTACTATTTTTCATACTTAATTACTTTGCAGACTAATTAAAAATAACCAATACAAAGTTAAATTTCCAATGTGTTTTAATGTTGGACTATTGCTTCTATTATAAATCTATAAAATGGTGGGGAGTTTAAAATGGCTTCTGCACATGTCTAGTAAACAATTCTATTTCTGTATCTCAGACAAATATTGTCATTTGCAAGCTGCTTTGTTTTATTACAAAACTGACAGGCTTTTAAAAATGAACGTGTTACAGTTCTAAAATGTCTGAAGTTTTCTAGAATTATTGTTTCAAATAATTATGAAAATGTACAAATGGTGGCCTTTTTACTGAGAAATATTATGGGGAATGGGATTGGAGAACTCTAGAACTCAGACTTACAAAGAAGTATTATTGTAAAATTCATGTTACCAGTACATACTTTTAAAGGAATCAAAAAGAATCCAAGGAAAAGAAAAATTGAAATGGAAACTTTTTTAAGGGCTTAGATATATATATGTTGCTCACTTGGTAAGCCATTACTGTCTTGCATAAAACAAGCAAATGCTGGGAAATCTTCATAGTTACTCACAAAACATTAAAAAAAAAGTCTAACAGGTAATACATATATACCCATTCCCCACATACATGTAATCAGTTGTTCAAGTAAGAACAATACTTAATGCATTCGAACCGGCCCAGTCCAAACATTCAATTCTTTAGTTTCAAATTAGTAGCTTCTTTGTGTTGTATCCAGGTTTGGATCTTAAAAGCATGAGCTGTCTTGCAATAAACTTTTTTTTTAACCTGCATACACGCATTTTGCCTTATTTGCATTTCAGACATGGAGGGAATGCTTTAGTATTTAACCTGCCATAGTTACCTCCTTCCCCAATTCAGAATGTTAAAGTACATGTGACTTTTCAACTGCTTTTACCAAATCAAAATGTTTTTACTGTATTTTCTTTGTTAAGAAAAGCAAATAATTGTTACTACACTTAAATTTTTTTTAACCCCCCCCAGTATAGCCACTGTGTGAATTCAGGAGGGGAAACTTACAAAAGGGTTTGAACAGAAAGGGATGTAATATTTAAATGCCACTGTGCAAAAAAAAAAAAGAAAAAAGAAAAACCTTGATATTGTCTTTAAAGCATGCAAGCATTGATAAAACTTTATTTTTTGCTACATGAAACCCCATGTGTACGGAACAGTGTAGAGTTAGGATTTTGTAAGGGAATAATTTTTTCATCTCTTGCCTAATAGTTGTGTATCTTAGAAATAATTTTCAGTAATAGATTTTTCATCTTGAGACTCTGCTTTCAGTATCATGTCTGGCTCTGGATTACTATACAATTTTTGTCTATTTTGTGTATATAAAGCATCTAATACTGAAAAGATTAAAAAAAGGAAAGCCGAAATGCTTTGTCATTGTTTTGACTGGAAAATGGCAGTGCTGTTTGATATTTTGAAAATGTTCTCTAAATAGGCACGGATATATATGGTTGTATTTGATATCAATTTTTTAAATAAATATGATTATAGCTTCTAATGTTTCTCTCTTGACCTGAGTATTTGCATATGTGCTTTACTTTATATGTGGATTGGGCACAGAATCATCAAACATTAAAATCTCACCTTTGATATCAATGGGCTTTCCACCAGATGTTGTGTATATACATGAGCAGTGGGGTAATTTTCTGTTGCTCATAACTGACATTATGTCATCTCTGATGAGTGTCTTTTCATCTGTCAATACTCCAAAATTTATGTAAAGACACTCCTGTTAGGA